TTTAGAAGATTTTTAAGCTTATGCAAAGATTATAGAAGCTACATGTAGGCAGATGCCTGTAGAAGCACATTAGGCAGTTAGAAAGGTTAAGCGTGCGCACACACCTCTCTAATAAGCGTTTAACATCCTAAAGACTAAGCTAGGTAACTGTACAAATAATAAGGCTATCCTATAGATAGTAGTTAAGGCTCTAAATAACACAGCTAGCCTACACAGTCTAGTACCCACGCTGCTAGTCTTTAGGGCATACCTAAGAATTAACCTAGACTCTTTACTATTACTAAACATTATTATATAAGCAAGCGCTGTATAAAAAGTAATAAAGATACTTTAAAAAGACTATATAAAAGTAAACATTAATTATATAATTAACACTTATAATAGCTTTATAACACATAAAGTTCTTAACTTCCCCTTTAGCTTAAAAATTATAGCATAAAAAAAGAAAAAAGGCTAGACTAGCCTATATAAGATTAAAAGCATTAAAGAAAAAAACATTATTATTAAAAAAAAAATAGCCTACTAAAGCTTTAATATACACAGGTTAAACTATACTATAAAGAAAAAAAGAAAGACAGCTTACTTATAATAAATAACCTAGATAAACTAATCTCTATATAAAGAGATCTTTTAAAGAAGAGGAAAAGAGAACAGCCTTATAAAAATGTTACAAAGGCAGAACTAAAGCCTACTATAGACTAAGCCCCTTAAGATAGCAATGCTGCACTAGTGTAAAAAAAAGATATAAATACTAGAAAAAGTAAAAAGTAAAGGAAACCTGCATAAAGTCTAGACTAGGTATTTCTAACTTAGAAAAAGAAGAATAATTAAGCCTTGTCTATTAAGCTCTATATAGACAGTGTAATTACTATACCTAGAAAACTATTTAAAAAATTAGACTATATAAAGATAAACACTTTAATTACTAACAGCACTTTTAAAGTTATAGTGTATAACTTAATAAGGTATAAAGGTTAGATTTTTAACCTTTACCTTATATAAAAAGTAAAAGGCAAAATAACTTAACTATATAAGAAATCCTGCCTAGTGTTTACTAGCTACTTAAATAAAGAGAAAAAAGAAATCTTTACCTAGTTACTAACTATCTAAAGAATAAGCTAAAGACTACTTCTAGCTATAAAAGTAAGCCTAAAAGCTATGTACAAAATGTATTTTAAACTATGTAATATTACATAAGCATACATCTAATTAATAGATAAGCTTATGCGCACGCTGTACACAAAGCTACTAAAGAAAATACACTAGAGCTTTCTACTAAATACAATACTCTAGGTTATATAACTCTTATATAGAGCTACTAAATTAGGACTATATTAGTTTAAAACATATTATAACTACTATAAAAAAAAGCTATGCATGCACATTTTTTTATACAACCTCTACCTTTTAATTACTAATAAAGAAAAGCATACTTTTAGTATTACTAGCCTATAAACAGATAACATTTTAAGCATTATAATAAAAGATTTTGTGTAAAAAAAAGAGAAAAAACTATAAAAAGTAAAGTTTTATATAAAAAGTAAGACTATTCTAGTAAAGAAGCAACTTATTAAGTTTAATAGTAAAAGAATTAAACTTACACATAACATAGTAGTTTTTACTTAAAAGAAATAAGTAAGCTACTTTTATATAATTAACTTAAAAGACAAAAATGCTGCATAATAATATATTAAGCAATATGTAAGAGGGGCATACATTATATTTATATGTTAACTAAAGGCAGCATTTAACCTCTTTATTACTGCACAAACTATAGACTCTTTATATAATAATATTAACACACTTAACACATAAATTTAATAGTAAATAGATAATAGTAAGTGCAGTCTTACTTTTCTACTATTACAACTTAATTATGTAAAGCTGTTTATCTTTATAAATAAATTATTTACTAATAATAAAAACCTTAGCTTACAGCTAAGATTCTTAATTATATTAAGTAATAAAGACTATATAAAGTAAAGTAACTACTTTAAAATACTAGGCAACATTATATACTAGAATTCTACTAAGTGTAAAAGAGTAACTAGAAGTGTTTTTACTAGTAAACTATACAGAATAGTTAGAAAGTTTAATAATGTAATTACCTTTAGTATAACTTTATAGTAAATTATATAAACACTTAAACTACTACTAATTCTAGTAGTAATCTGCATAGATTTAAGGTCTTTATATAATTACTTTATTAAGCTAGGCACTACTAGTAAAAAGCAACTTATAATTAACATTATATTACTTTATAAATTATATAAGAAGAGGGAAATTACTAAAATAAGGTAAATTAATAGTAAAAACAACTTAGTAAATGTATGTATAAAGAAAACACTAAACTAGGCTTTTTAATTATTAGTCCTAACTAACTGCCTCTTTGTCTAGATAGAAGCATCTGTGGACTAGCTAGATCCTGTGCGCAAAGATGCCCTAGACTAACTAGACTAATAACACCTTTATATAAGGCCTATCTTTTTTATTTTTTTTATTGTACGCACTTATTTTTTCTTATTACAAGATTAGAAGAGAAGGATATGTAAGGAAGACAGTCTATTTGTCTAGTATATAGGAGAAGAAAAAGCTACCACCCCTTACGTATAGTGGTCACAATGCAGACCACAGCTCTGCCATACGCACAAGGCGCAGGCATTAGCCTAGAAGTTAGCTAACACACAACACTTAACAAAAGAAGAGGCACTAGTAGTGCTGCTGCAACAACAAGCACATAGAGTTGCTAGGACCTAACTGCAACTCTAGACTAGGACTGCACAGAAGTACCCCTTACAACGCACAACTTTTGCTGCCTACAGCTGCAGATTAGTGCTAGCAGGCAAGACAACATTAATATTATAAAACAGTAAAGCTGCTACATGCTGCTTCTTAGCCTGTCTATAATTAGCATTTTATATAAGGAGGAAGCAGAAGAGCTAAAGGATCTGTATGTTTATGCTAAGACACTAAATAAACTGCTAATTAGCAGCAGAACTAGTTAGAAGGGTGACACAGATGCGCCCTAGGCCGCCAGACTGCACAAGGACGTCAAAGACGCCCGCACTGACGGCGCTGGAGGTAGAGGAGGAAGGCTAGAGAGACATCTCTCTCTCTCTCTCTCTCTCTCTGTGTGTGTGTGTGTGCAGGCAGGAGTATCTGTCACTGTCAGCACCGTACAAAAAGAGAAAAGAGCCAGGGAATGGTACAGTAGGGCTTAGAGAGTGAAGGATAAAGAAGAGAAGAGCTATTCACATAGCGCGACTAGCCTATCCTAACGCACAGCATCACTGAGGCAAGTCCTAACAAATAGGGTGGAGTAAAGGCAGAACGTAATTAGATAGACCTACACAGACAGAAGGGAGGTAACGCGTACAGAAGGCAACTCTTTAGACAAAAAGAAAAGTTGCTAGTGTCTGTACGCAGCAGCAGCGTCGCGGCCTAGATACGAACAATCGCGCACGAGCAGGATCACGTATCTATGTCACATAATGCTTGTGCGCGAACCTCTGTGCGCGAACATCTAGATATCCCCCTTTTCCTCTGTACAGAGGAAAGACAAGAGCAATAGAACTAGAAATATGTTGCCCTCACCTTACCTACCTTGTACGCTGTGCACACTGTACACCACTCTTACTCTTGCTACTTAAGTGCTTATACCATAAGCAGCTAGCTGTTAGAGCCTATTTAATAAGTATAGTTAATTACTTTTCTAGTAAATTACACAGGTACTGCTGTTATCTAGCTGCTAGGTTATACAGCTTTAATAGCTTTAGTGTGCACCTTACACTATCTTCTCTTTACTTTATATAGTAGTAGAGCTTGCTGTATAATGTAAAGAATTAATCTACTATTCTAAAAGATAAGTAACTAAATAAAGTACTTTATAAAGTGTAAGTGCTTTATTATTACTTTTCCTAAGAGATAAGTAATAAAATAAAGTGCTTTATAAAGCATAAGGTTAATTACTTATGCAGTAGATTGCGCAGGTACTGCTGTTGTCTAGCTGCTAGGTTGTGCAGCTTTAATAGCTTTTAGTGTACGTCTTACACTATCTCCTTCTTACTTTATACAGTAGCAGAGCTTGCTATATAATGTAAAGAATTAATCTGCTATTCTAAGAGATAAGTAACTAAATAAAGTACCTTATAAGGCGTAAGTGCTCTGTTGTTACTCTTCCTAAGGGATAGGTAATAAAGCAAAGTACCTTATAAAGTGTAGGTACTCTATTATTACTTTTACTAATTTATAGTTAATTAAATTAACTACTAATTAGTGTTAAATAGGCTTTAACAGCTAGCTGCTTATAGTATAAGCACTTAAGTAGCAAAAGTAAGAGTAGTGTACAGTATGCACAGCGTATAAAGTAGGTAAGGTAAGGGCAACATGTTTTTAGTTCTATTGCTCTTGTCTTTCCTCTGTATAGAGGAAAAGGGGGATATCTAGATGTTTGCGCACAGAGGTTCGCGCACAAGCATCATGTGGCATAGATACGTGGTCCTGCTCGTGCGCGATCGCTCGTATCCAGATTGTGACGCTGCTGCTGCGTACGGACAGCAGTCTTAGTTATGCATTCGATCAATCTGTCCGTGGCGACTATTTGCGACTTCTCCACTAACCCCTGCCTTACCACGAGTTTCAGCATGTATTTGAGCTTCGGAGCTATAGGAGAAAGTTTCGGTCCAGGGAGACCATATTTCCAGGTGTTGACGACATCTAGCGCTTTAAAGTTAGAAAGCCAGGAGTTTCACGGATGAGAAGAGATTCGCCACCTAGCTTAGCGTACAAGACAGTGGTTTGTCATGATGTATTAAAATTTACGCGCTAGGCCTAATCTGCTTGAGGCTGCAGAACCACGTTCCTTTTCCTTTTCTATTTTTGTCGTAATTACGTCACCCAATGTTGGTGCAGCTTTTGACATCTTCCTTTCAACATAGTAAGTAGCCATGGATGCAGCCATGGTGTTTAATAGAACGTAATTGTTACTATCAGTAGTGTTTTTAAGGCGTTACTGGCGGCAATAGGGTTTCGTTCTTACGGAAAGAGTGAATTAAAACGGCCTTACAGTGTGAGAGGTATCGAGCAGGAAACACAGGTCACAGAGAGGTAATGCAGGATAGGGGGGTAACGAGAGTAAACCTTAGGGTCGGAGGCAGAGGTACGGAGGCCGAGGAGCCTATATACCCCGTGCCAAGCCCTTAGGGTACTCAGGGGTTGGATAGCTGTAACATAACCGTGACATACAGGCAGTAACAGTTACTGCCAAGTTAATTAATAGTAGTTACTGTTTAGTGCAGTTACTGCAGTAACTGGTGTTACTAGAGGCTCTAGAGGGCTCAATTTTGACACAATCTTGCCAATATAGTCGCGGAGATTGTTCAATTCTGAGATTGTGGAAGGCGATAGCTGCAATTAAGCTCTTCACATAATATCCAAGGCCCCCAGGTTTCAGCTAGAGGTCGCAAGTCTAGATATTGTCCTACTTAATGTTAAAATTTAGGCTGTTGTTAAGGCAAGAGTCCTTACGAGACTTATAAGATGTCACGGTTATGTTACAGCTATCCAACCCCTGAGTACCCTACGCTTGGCACGGGGTATATAGGCTCCTCGGCCTCCGTACCTCTGTCAGATATGCGCACCTACTGTCAAGACAGGAGGAACGCTTGACGAAAGCTGCTACATAGTACGAGCAATAAGCTCGAACAGTATGTTACTGCAAATTGCAGCATTTTGCAGCATGTTGCAGCAAATTGCAGCATTTTGCAGCATGTTGCAGCAAATTGCAGCATTTTGCAGCATTTTGCAGCATTTTGCAGCAATTTGCAGCAAATTGCAGCATGTTGCAAGCTGGTCGCGCATAGGGCAAGTGCGCGAGGGACTCGGATCGGCAAAACAAAAAGCCGAGCAACACGAGTAGAGCAGAAAAAAGGATCGATAAATCAATACAATCAATCATCATCCCATACATCATATCCAAACCCATCATTCATCTCAGGAAGCCCAGAAACAGTGCTTCAATCTGACAACCTCTGCCTCCGACCCTAAGGTTTACTCTCGTTACCCCCCCTATCCTGCATTCCCTCTCTGTGACCTGTGTTTCCTGCTCGATACCTCTCACATAAGAATAGAAACACTAGAGGATAAAACCTTAATTAAAAAGCTCTAAGAGCTCCTAGAGGCACCCCTTAACTTCTTAAGACAACAAAAGCTTGCGAGGTGTTGAACTAGCTATAAGCTGCAAGTGCTACGTGGAGTTTAGCATACTTAAGGAGTTACTTCACTGTTCTGTACTAACAATGGATAGCATAGGCAGTTACTGCAGTAACTATAGCCTCATTAACTGTACAGTAACAGAAGGCAATTCACTTTTGTTCTAACTGCTAAGAGATAGTTACTATCAGTAACAGTAGGAACAGTACTACGTTCTATTAAACACCATGGATGCAGCTAGCCAGGCGATAGCGCAAAATCTCCCTCTAAATGTGCGTAGAAGCTACGCTGCCCTAGCAGAACACTGTAACGTCCGTGTCTCTCGCACCACCGTGTGGTATCGTAAGTTTCTAGTTTCCTGCAAGAAGTGATCACATTGTGACCTCAAGACTTTCTAAACTTGGTCGTCATGTGATCTGGTTACAGTCTGGGACTACCCCGCAAGACTCCGCCCACACGATGGTAGTACCTTGTCTATTACTCAGCATAGAAAGGGTGATACTACCTAGAAGATTCTGGAGGGATTTCTAGCAGTATAAATGCTTGCCGCTCCCCGGACCTTTCCATGAAATAGAGACAATAATAAATATATATTAAGATAAAAGGTGCGTAAAGACCTACGCTGTACAAAGTTGAAGAAGTGTAATACGACCTGAAGAATGGCCTAAACAGGCTAAGTCTTCTTTAACTATAGAGCAAGTCGGTCGATATTCAGGAGGAAGCCATAGTAACCGCTGTTGATCTAGAGTGATCCACTGGTCTTGTATGAAGATATGAGACAGCTGCTCTCTTTGGGATGAGGGCGATGAGTTGGAAGGAGAATGTAAAGGAGTATCTCCTCGACTTGTTTGAATATACTGGCCGTCCGGCGAGAAGGCGACGGCGTTGACGAAGTCTGCATGGCCCTCTAGCACGCTGCGGCACGACCCCGTCGCCGCCTCCCACACCCACACTGTGTTGTCGTCCGAGGCCGACGCGACCAGCTGGCTGTCCGGCGAGAAGGCGACCAGCTGGCCGTTTGGCGAGAAGGCGACCAGCTGGCCGTCTGGCGAGAAGGCGACGGCCTTGACCCAGTGTGTATGGCCCTCGAGCACGCTGCGGCATGACCCCGTCGCCGCCTCCCACACCCGCACTGTGTTGTCGT